GTAAAGATTTTCGTAAAATTCTGACCCATTCAATCTCTTCCCCCATTTCTTTAGTCAAATGGCAAAAAAAATTATCCACTGAAACGGTGCTTTACATATATGCTGTTTCTCTCATGGTACATAATAAATATCTTTACAGAATTATATCGAATTGCTGAAAGGACCTAAAAGCGATTAGCTTTACACGTAGGTATGTTATGGAGGCAGCACAGAAAATCGGACTAACCGTGGAAGAAGAAAAAAACATTCAATATAATTCTTGTTCATTGTATAGAAATTAACGAGTCTTAAGCTTAAACAAACACTCCACTATTATGTTATCACATGAAGTCCATAAATAGAAAAAAATATGCCTTAATAAAAATGTGAGAAGTTCAACACTACCCCAGGAATAAATTATATCTTTTTGTACAAATATTTTAAAAAATATAACTGGACCATGAAAAGAGGTATTGGAATCCTACTTTTCTGTAAAAGAAATGATTATTGCACGTTTGCGCATAAAACCTTATCTATTTTTTTTACATTTAGTAATTACAATCGAAGATTTTTTATCAATGCATGTTAACCAAACGTTCCAAGTACTTGCGATATAAACAAAATTGATGTTTCCAAGTAGGCGGCGCAGTGTTGAACTTTTTCATCTTTGTTATTAAGAACAACAGAGGAAAAACTGATCAGGATTTCAAATCAATGCCTGCCTTCATTATAAGAAAAATAATATAAGGAAATCGGCGTACCCGATTCCTTATCTTAATACCTTATGAATCATGCATGTCACGACACCCTATGCTTGATCAGTGATAACAAGATTTTTTTCTATTTACAATTTTATATATATTAAAAAAATATTTACAAATATACAAAATGAAAATTAAAGAATTTCAAAATTTCTTTTAGCGTTCATCTTGGAACCACGTTTCTACAGCCGTCTACGTCCATTCCCTGTGTTTTCGGTCCATGACCTACGGGTACCACGCCCTTGCGCTTGTCACCAAGTCCTCGACGCCCATCGTCAATCAAAAGCGCCTTAAGAGTCCACAGTGCTGACGAAAAACCAGGAAACCACGTTTCCCCATCCGGCCTCGGCCTAGCGTACCACGCCCTTGTGTAGTCGCCCAGGTTGCCACCGCCGACAGCACCAAAGCATCGTGTAAGGACACTTATGCACATGTATCTACAGGAACCCTGACTGGAGATTCAGTCACCACGAATAAACCTAACTAACCTTCCATGGACATGAATGTGGAACTACTCTCACTGGTCAAGGAAAACGTGCGCTATCCAAGACAAACCTGACATCACCTTATATAGCGACTGGCCAAATATTTAAATTCAACTGAACGTAACAATGGGGCTCCTTACAGGCTAAAACACTATAATACAAACAAAGATCACCACAGGATAATACTAACAAGATAGAAATAAATGTAAATGTAACGAAATCGACGTTGATTGTGACAATGCACTATATTCACGGTATATGCTTTTTAACCACAGTTTCATACATTTGTTTATATGAATTCTCGTTACGTTTATTTCCCTAGGCAAATATTTGATCAGCTGTCATGACGTCATGGGTTAGGATTTAACCCCGTGACAAACGTTGGCTATTTATACCATCCAAAAGTGACAAGATTTAGTTTATTTTATGTTTTGCATATTTTCATTCATTTCTAGCACCCGGAATGTCTCTAAATATAGATATTAAGAAATCGTTATATCTAAAGTTCACGTCATATAGCTTACTATGCATCATATTATATATGCAAGTAGAATATCCGAGTGAAGCTTTACATACCCGCGGATAAAATTCAAGTAAAAATAAGATTAAATAAGAAGCTAAATGAACATGCCGACGCTACTTCCTCCCAGAAACGTGAATGCATAATTCTTTTTTTTTTTTCCAGAGATACCAAAGATACATATTTCGGAATTTATAAAATCAGAAATTCCTATGAGCTGGTGGCATACACTTCGAAAAGTTTGGCAGGTTAAAGTCTCTTATTGATGAATGATTTTACCCTCGAGGGAAGAAAAAGACGTAAACAAAAATATGCGGATTGAGAAATCCATCTATGTTTAAAAAGCTAAAATGCAAAATGTGAAACTTAGAAGAAAGTCGAAAATCATAGACCCTTGGCAAATATTGATCAAACTGAAAAACTACATATAAGTAAGTTTTTTAATCAAAACTGTTACAACCTTTTCAATTTCTAATTGTTTAAGATACACGTAGCAATAAATTCAATATACTATTCTAGAGAATTTAAACCTTAAATGCTGTGAATAGGGTTATTTGTACCCGTCTATTTTTTTTCCCTTTCTCAAATCCAGATAATTTCAAACTGTTTTAATTCGCCGAAAGACAGTTGTTTTTAACAGATAATGATGTCTTCTTTGTATTTTTGATTTTAATTTTTTGTATTGTTTTTTTACATCATGTTTCGCTCGAAATAAAATCCTAAAGTCAATACAAAAATCTGAGTGTATGATCTATCGATGATTGTTAGGTTGAAGGAAAATTGTGTTGAATATTGTTTATTTGACTTCTTAATCGTTTGTTTTGTTTTCAATGCATCAAATCCGAATTAACAATTTTTTTTCTTGCATTTAAGACCTTATATGTGATTGAAATAAATCAAAAATAATGTGCCGTAGGAATAATTAATAGACTCGACAAAAATTTTGATACATAGTACCAAACACATGTAGAAGGAAGTCTCAAGCTCCTTGAAATATTAAACTGAATACGCTTTCCTTTTTTTTTTAATTTTAATAATAAATGTTCAGAAATGATTTTCTTTATTTTGCAGGAGTAATGAAATATATGGAGATAACGAACTATTCAAGCTCAAAAGTTCATTTAAACAATACAAATCAGGGGCAGAGCAAACACGGACCTCTAAAACATCAGAGGTGGGATCAGGTGCCATGGATGAGTAATCAAGCATCCCCTGTCGACCGGTCACACCAGTCGTGTGCTCCTTTGTCATGATTGGGAAATAACGGAAAAATCCGTCGACAATTCAGTGTGTAAATAATGGTCTTACAACTAGTATGAAAAACGTCAGTCAGCATTTTACTTAATGATAATTTGTATTTGCTGACAGGGTCATTGCATCGACCATAGAACTTACGAAATGATGACTTCAAACGAAACTGTTGATAATCTTGTTTCATCAACTTGTTTTTCAATAAATTATCCCGAATTAGAAATTGTTCATATATGTACGTAGAACATGCTTTTGCGTATCGAATCAATTAAGAGATATAAACCCATATGCAGGTGATAAAGGACTATTGCTGCATACGTAAGGAAGGTTGACGATTGAAAAATTAAAGTCATTACGTTTATCATAAAGCTTCGTCTTAAGATTACCTTGAATGTCCTTTCGAGTAAAATATTCAAATATTAAACAGATGTATCAGACTCTGGGGTATCTTTTATTTCAAACTCACTGGGATATATCAAGTCGATATATGAATGGAAATAACAATTGTTAATTGATAATATGTCGTCGATATATCTAAATATCGAGATGAAGGACAAAGCAAGTGTTTTCTTCTTCTCATGTATAAGATTTTGAAAAAAAAAATCTGCTTCATCTGAATACAAAAATAGGTCTGCTAATAATGGGGCGCAATTTGTACCAATGGGAATTCCAACAAATTGTTGGAAGACCTGGTCTTCAAAATCCACAAAGATACTGTCAATCAGAAACTCAAGAATCCTTTTAATATCAACTTAAAAGTACTTACGTGTACAATCCGAAAGGTTTTATAACAAAATAATTTTGCAAACGACCAATAATAAGATAAGTTAATTTACGAGTTCCATTTTTTTGAAAAAGCAGCTGTCAATGATGTCAAAAAGTTGGGTTTAAATTTATCGTTGGGAATGGTTGTATATGGAGTTGAAAAGTTTTAAGTGTTTCTGTTATTGATTTTGGTAAAATTTTTGATTTCAATTTTTTCCGAAAATTCCTTGGAATTTTAAAATATTCACATCTGATTACATCACTTCTCGAATATATTGTTGCACAGTATTCCTGAAGTTTCTCCTTCATTGCTGTTGTTCCCTTTGTGATCACAAGGAGATTCAAGATGAAATTCATTTTCTCCTTGTATGTCCTCATTTTAGTGTACAAAGACTTGAGCTCATAAATATTTGTAATAATGAATGTAAAAAATTTCAGTCTCTGTCATATGATAATCAATTTCATTGGCTCATGACTAATGAAGACCCTGAGATCCTAAGATCACTTGCTAGATTCCTTGATAATCTACTTTAACTGAAAAATTTAAATATATTTGGGGACGTATTTACATGTACATGTATGGCAATATATCATCTCTTCTGTTCTTTGATATGCATATATGTATCTTTCCAGTTACTCGACTATATATTATTATTATATTACAAGATGAATACTCGTATATAGCTTCTGTAGATGCATTTATCAATGATTATACAATTAAGCACTGCTCATTATATTTAAGATCATGTTTGTTATATCATTTGGATCTTCCTCCTTCTTTGTTTCATGTTTGTAAATCTTTTTTGCTCCTCCGGGGGTCTAAATTGGACTAATAAAATCTTGTATCTTGTATACGAGGGAAAATTGTTAATGACAGTGCATATTCAATTGATTTGAAGCCGTATTCACAGGAGGGTCAGTGTGCATGCATCGTCGATTGTGATGTCACAAATAACATCTCAAACAACGATGTAAACTATATGGTTGCAACGGGCACACACACACCACCTTGAGAGTGTATGCAGGAATTCGAGGAAATGAAATATAACAATTTGAAATTCATAGTAAAGATACTTTGATTTTCTAAAGTAAAAGCTGTACTATAGCATAAACTTGTATACGGTTTGAAACTGTATTGCCATCTACATATTTATCAGATAAATCTATACATTGTGCAATACATTTTCAAAAGTAATGCACAATGCATAAAATGTTCACGTAATCGACTGGTTAAAGATTTCACATTTCGCATATGAATCTATTGGACTTGTCACATCTAACGTCAAATATTCCAACTCGGGAGTCAGATGGGTAGTATTGCACCATTCCACAGAATTCATCGTTCCCATTTGGATCTTTGGGGAACCACAGGTTCCGATCAAATTCTTTGCTTTTATTGTTTGTCCAGATCCAGGTGCCATCTTCGTCCATGTCCTCCAATCCAACCCAGTAATATACTGTTCAAACAAGATAAAAATTGATTTAAAGACATTGGCAAGGTTTCTGGTTATTGTATAGAATTTTTCAAGAACTCTTGAGTAGGTTTAATTGTACTAAACAGGCTTTATTCTGGATTGTTTAACCTACCAAGCCAGTCTTCTTTATTAGATTTTGTCAAATCGGTGTTTTTGCAATTCCCAATGCATTTCCTATGTAAAATGTTGATAAAACGGAGCTACAAAATTTTTCACCATAATATTTCTCCAAAACCCACTTATTTCATTTAGTTTTTGTATTATATACATTATTGTATCTTCATTTTCTATGACTTCTAGATATTTTGGCTGAAAATGTATATACAGAAACAAGGCAAGGACATACCGGCACCAATCTTTATTTTTGAGTTACTTCCCTTTACAGCTATAATTACATATTATTCATAACGGTCAAGAGAGTCAGACTGGTTGATTGATTCTATTATGTAATTGACTGAATTGATTGAAACACATTGTCATAAAAATATTGGCATGGATTTATTTCAAATTTTATTCGTAGTTACTAAATGCTGCTTCTTCCATACAACCTGAGAACTGATCTTAGTCGGTCTACCTTTCAGCATGTCACATCTTTGCCCTTCCCAGCATACAGAGCATAACTATGGTAAATGACGACCTGTTGGCTACTTTGTCCCCTGAATACAATTTACAACAAAGCCATTACTACTTTTCTTTCTTGCTGTATAGATGATTCTACCCGTTGAAGGAAGTGCACGTGCTTTTGTTTACCTCTGCAAACATACGCTTTATTGGTTTTCACCGCATAGAGAATTCTACACGGGAGATCACTCTCAATCACTATTTCATAAGTGAAAAACCCATGTATTAAACCTTTTTTCTCCGGAAAACCTTGACTTGCCAATGTCCTTAACTTGGGGTATCACAAGTTGACGAGAAACATACTGATTATATGAGTTATTACATGTAGCTTTTGTCACATTTTTTGGTCTTTCTTATTTATCCCTTTGTAAAACCCAGACCTATTTCATTTCCATTTTGAAAAAAAGAGTTGTTTAGAAGAATGTAAATTGAGGATATTTTTACCATATCTTAAGAATTTGAACCAATTATTAAATATCATTTTTAAAAAAACATTTATTTTGTAATAAACATATTCCTTTACTTTGCTAGAGGATGTAGATAATTAAAACTCTCGTATATTATTGTATTTTTTAAAATAAATTTAACAGTTTTGAGTATCAAAATCATTGAGTGGATTTATTTTTTTTTTCTCTCAAAAATTTAGGCTTAAAATTGAAACTTCTATGTTGTCCAATCTTACCTACGAGATCATAATTGAAACAAACTTCAATTCTTTTCTGCATAAAAAATTTCGTTTAAAATTCTGAACAATTTGGAACCACAATTATTCGAGAATAAGACTTTAAAGTATTTTTTTCATTTTTATGTTTAAAGTTGACCCCTCGTAGTGGCCCAATTCAGCATATCTGACATATGGACAAATTTGAATCAACAACATGCATAATTATATTAAAAAAATACAAATCTATATGGCGAAGTGGTTTTTAAGAGAAAATAATTAATTTTTAACCTTATTTCATGTAAGATTTTGTACAACTTTCGTGCTATTTTTCATGCTGAAAGGGCCATGCGTTGCGGTCAGAGCTAAGGGCGCTTGCTCCGTGATCAGAAGGTCGTGTGTTCGATCACGGCGCGACTAAGTCGTAAAAAATAAGTAGGATCTTTTCTTTCGCCAAGCGCTTTCGATTGAAAGTTGCGGGTCCTTCGGATGAGACCTTAATAACCGAGACCATGTGTCACGGCATGAGTTGACACGATTAAGATCTCCCATTGCTCAGTGGCCCTGAGTGCCGAGTAAAGGTTTAAATTTGAAGCCCTTCACCGGTATGTGGTAACGTCTCTATATGAGTAAAAAATTCTCGAATAGGACGTAAAACAACATACAATCAATAAATCACTTATGTGGAGATTTCATCTCCTTCAGGTGAAGTGCCACACATTTTGATCTATGCATGGTGCTTATGTTCGTATCCGTGAGGGGTATTTTTGTGCCAACCCATATATTATAGGGGTCTTCCGTTTTAAAGGTCTCATGCAAAACACTCTTGACTTGCATTTGTAGTAACGGTCGCTTGTGGAGGGAAACTTAAGTACGTATGTTAAATGTCTTATGTTTGACGCGGATTCGGAAGCAAGCTATTGCGACCATTCATTACATGAGGATGTTTGCACTGCATAGACAATACCAGGGGATTCTTAAATTACATTTAATAATTGTGCAGCCTTAAGCTTGTAATTGTTCCCATATTTTATTTAAAAAAAAAAATTGTTAAAATTGAGGAGACTTTTTGTGGCCAAATCCCTTCCACAAAGTCCATAGTTTTAAGAAATATGTACATGTATTTACCTTTTGTGAAGATGCCAGCATAATAAAAGAACCGTTATGTTTTTTTTTTAATTTTTTAGGAAAAGATTGTAGATATTTCATATTTATTTGTATGTAAAAATTTTGGTTCCCATTTTGGCTCCATTCCATCAAAAGGGGAAATGGTTTCAAATAAGAATGGCTCGAATAATACAAAAAAAATGTAGGTTTTTGTTTTTGTTTTTTTTTTAAATATATTTTGAAGATTTTGTTACGTGTTTCTGTAAAGAATATAAGACCAAGTTGTGGCTCTAATCCATCCACAGAGACAAGATTTCAACAAGCGTATATCTTCACTACATTTCAAATTGATTCCAGATAATTTCAATCATTTCTCACCAGATTGTACCTGAGAAGATATTGAAAAACCCATTTTCTTTCTCCTTTATTATTATTATTTCTGATGTAACTTTTTTTGAAAACGTCTGTAATTTGAACAAACGTTTATTTCGATCATCAACGGATTTTTTGTTGTTGACAGCTTGGTTAAAATTTGCCCCGTGGTTTTGGAAAATAAATGTGAGAGAAATGATCCATAAGACAACCGAAAAACGACTGACAGTATTCGTCAAAGGACAACGCAGCTCTGTTAAGGCTGCATAAAGGGGGCGGGGCCTAATTTATACGGGAAAAGTTTACTGTGACATCACACAAATATAGCAATTCCTCACAATAACAGAAAATGAAATAATTTGCGAATCTAAACTTCATAAGAGTAATGAACTACATCAAAACTTACCACAGCATTCATTTTTGTCGCTAGTTAAATCCCACACAGCAAGATATAAACAAGTCACTGATCGCAATGCACTTGTCGACATGACGTCATCATGGTAAAGTTTGACGCATTTTATGTGCAGTGAGATTCGGATCAAGTAATTTTTTCACAGTGAAAAATGCATTTTATTATTAAACAGAATATTATTTGAAAATCTTAGGTAGACCATTAATACAAATCTGAAACGTTTGTTTAGTTCCATTATTTAAAAACTATCGAGAGAATGTATTGAATTAAATCTACAGTGTTTTTGTCTACAGGGTGTGCATGTTTCACGCCGAGGTGCCTCATTAAATCGCCTTTTCGCAAGGGCATACACTTAATAAATCTTGACCATTTTTTGAATACACATAATGGACACATTCCTTAACTTGAAAAGTGCTGCTGCTTTCCTGAAATCGATAGCATAACTTAATAAATACATAAAATACTTGGTAAAGGTCACACATATTTCGACATTAGCAAGATGACCTGAAATTTAAACTAATAAAACCTACATACAATACACATTACATGCGTTTATCACGTGACTATCAAATAACGTGACAACCAAATTCAGTACAGAGGGGGGTATACAATATTATTTCAAAGAATGTTAAAGTCATAAGATAATATAGTACCTTTACAAAATTAAATTTCATTTTAGAAAGGTATGTATTTATGCACGTTTATATTCGGTTGATTTCTTCGAAGTACGCCTTAACAGTGCTGCGAAAAACGAAAAAAAAATGTGATCGTGGTGCCTCCTGTAGGGAAAGTATTTTTTTTTTTATCAACATGCATACTTACCGTTTTCAGGAATAATATTTTGAAAAACAGAGAGCTTTTCCACAGTGTCAAGCATAATTAGATGGCCTCCGTCTGATCCGCATTTTTTATTGGCATCCTGCCAGATCTTGCTGTCATTGTAATCTTTATAGCAGACCCTGATTTCAGACAAATATTGGTAGTTGTGATCTTTGCAATCTAAAATAAATTTGTATGAAAATGAACACTTGATACCTTGCGAAATTTAGTTTCGTTTATAATATTTCATACAAAGAGCTAGATGTATGTATTATTTTAATCCATAAAAAAATTCATATACCAAGATAACCATTTTCCTTCCAACTGATTTAAGCACACTTTGAAGAGGAAACATAAATTTTATTCTTAAATAATAGGCTTTCAATGTCTTTGTATACAAGCCTTTTTAGCGATAATTTTGTAAAAAAAAAATAATTTGTATATTAGAATTCTTTAAATGAAATCCTTTCTATGTCTATTCGTGATATTACTAATTACTTCATACATTGTATCAGCATTTCCTGTTTTTTTTTAAATGTTAGGAAAACATAAGGAATTCAAACAATATGATTTATTGCATGGTCACCATTGACTTTCTTCCCACGAGTACCCTTAACGTTATTCGGCTGATGTAGGGTTTTTCACCAAAGATTCACACACACACACACACCCTCCCTCACACAAACACACACACCCTCACAAACACACACACACCCTCACACACACACACACACACACACACAAATATATATATATATATATATATATATATATATATATATATATATATATATATATATATATATATATATATATATATATATATATATATATATATATATATATATATATATATATATGGAGATAACGAACAGTTATCAAGCTGAAAAGTCTATTGAAACAATACAAATCAGGAGCAGAGCAAACACCTTTAAAACATCAGTGGTGGGATCAGGTGCCATGTAGGAGTAAGTATCCCCTGTCGACGGGTCACATCCGCCGTGTGCTCCTTGACATGATTGAGAAATGGAAAAATCCACAGACAATTAAGTGTGTAAATTTATTAAAAAAAAAAAAATATGGTCATATATTTGTTTGCCGCTCAAAGTGTTTAACTACGATTGAACCTTACAAAGGATTGACATCTCATTTCTTACAATTAAAGTTGTGAATGTTATTATTATAATTACTGGATTTTTGAAACATTTTGTTTGATATAATTAGGAGATGGAGTAGTCTTATGATTACGAGCATTATTTCAGAAAAGATAGAAATGCAATTCTGAAAAGATGATCCATTGAAGGTATATAAGATAGGGTTTGCATCTTAGTAAAAACAATAACAATTTCAACTCACTCCTTTCATCTGATAGAAAAAAGTAATCATCTGATAGGAAATAATACTGAGCCCCTTCCAGAACTGTAAAGGATTGCCCGTCTGTCCTATTTCTGTAACAGTAGCATTTGTTTTCTATGTGCGAAAATGCAGTCGATCCTCCATTCTTCTTACACAATCTTCCACACGACATAACAGAAAGTACATGTGATGGTTTGCTTTTCCCATTAGATTCATTGAGAAATATTTTATCATCAAATCTTACATCTCTTTTCCAAATTTGAAATTGTTCACATCCTTCAAAAAATAGAATACGTGTGTAAATAGTGAATTTTTTTTCGTTTCTTTTAAAGCAAAATGTTGAAATTCCATGCACTAAAGTCAGAATCATAGTAAAATTGGACATATCTGATTTAAAATAGAATTCATTTCTGAAATAAACACATCTTAACGTTGTAAGCTAAGCACATTAATCACATATATCTACAATCTATTTGAAAAACAACACTTACCAACGCTTTGGAAGAGCACTCCTAAAACCGTTATATGTTCCAATCCTTGCATTCTAATGGTTTAAAAACAATATAATGAAATAAATTCCTCACATCGTTGAGTTATAAATGATGAATCATGCATTTAATGAAACAATGCTGCATGTTTATTGTAGAGAACGGTACAAAGGCAATTGCATCAAATTTCAAGTTTTTAAACTACAAAGAACTAACATTTTCATTCATGAACTTTTATGAAACCCTGATAATTCAAGTGTAGAATGCGCAGAACAATTCAATATTTTATCAATTTTCACAACTTTTGAGTGCTTGATCAATATTTTCTGACATGTTCTCGTGTAAGTCAACATGAAATATTTTTCCATTTCCTTTTCACAGCAGAGTAGATGTATTTGCATGGTTCAGATCAGGAGCTATTAAATATCGATAAGAGATTATTATAATTTTATAATTTTGATGTAGTGGTGGTGTTGGGGGTTTGGGATTGGAGTTGGAGATCTACATGTAACTTTAATTTAAGAAAATTTTAGGTAGAGAGGCAAAGAATACCATGATGTTTAAGCGTATTCACAAATCACAAATTAAAAGTACAATTGAATAAGTTTTGTTTTTGGTCAATGTGTTTTATAACTATCATTTAAACAATAATTTCTTATCTTTATTCGTTAATATGGGAATAAACGTTTTAAATTATAGTAGAAAAAATACTTAACCACCTATTTTTACCTTGAGTCTAATGGTGACAAACCTTTCGATATGAGTCTTTGTTTAATAAAAATCAATCTTATTAAATCGTGTGATGTGACACTATTGTTCCGTGAATTGTACAAATGCCATCTCATTTTATCGTTTCTATGAAACCGTATCGTACATTCATTAGAGAGAGAGGGGGAAGGTAAATTTTTCAAGGAATCAAGTTCTGTTTAAAGAAATTCGTATAGCTAAACTATGGAAATGTTTGAATAGGCCGGGAGGGAGCCAAAGTAAATCCAAATTACCTATTAAGTAATTGGCAGAAAAAGACACACACACAGAGAGAGAGAGAGAGAGAGAGAGAGAGAGAGAATGATTTACTGTCTAGTGAGCTAAGTCAGTCACGCCGAAAAGTAATTTGTAGAAATTGAACTCCAAAACCTAGTTCAGCTGCCAAATTCGTGTGAGGATCTTTATCTTTCGTTGTTCAGCTCTTCCAAAATTTCTACTCAAGCATACATGACGAGATTCAGTCAATCATTTTTTGCGTATATCGCCAAAAAGTGAAGTGAAACAGATGCAAAGGACTTTAAGAATCAATGACATTGTCGAACGTATAAAAGGGGAAAAATCAGTGGCGGCAGCTCCGTGTGACCATTTCTTCTTTGAAAATAAATGGGGGAGATTATCAACGTATTATTTTAAAATTTTACACCTTTATTGCCTTTTCTTGCTTTATGTAACTTATGGATTTTGTAGGCCTTCATGGTAATTCAATTTAATTTAAAATTTTATTTCATTGGTAACATGTGTCATACCTAAAATGACCGTTCACGGTAGCTCAGTCGGTAGAGCGCTCGCTCTGTGATCGGGAGGTCGTGAGTTCGAATCTCGGCCGCGACTGACCTAAATAGATAAAAATCGGGTAGCAACTGTTCCTTCGCCATGCGCTTGGCACTTTGAAGTGAAACTTGCGGGTCCTTCGGATCAGACCTTAAAAACCGAGGCCCCGTGTCACTGCAGGCGTTGGAACAATAAAGATCCATCACTGCTTAATGGCCCTGAGTGTCGAGTAAAGTTCAAAATTTGAAGCCCTTCACCGGTATATGGTGACTTCTCTATATGAGTGAAAAGTTCTCGAATGGGACGTAAAACAACATACAATCAATCAATCAATCCTACATGAAATTCTGCCACTGATCTACAATTAAGACTTCCTTAGTTACTCTATGTTGGGATATGCACTCTTGTTGAACTGTCAGATTATTTAAATGGCACACCGCCTCTAATATACTTAGTATATTGTTTTTTTTAAAATAATTTATCTTCGATTTGAAATGGATTTTGATTGTTATACCACATGGACAGACCTTGACTTTTAAAAGCAAACAGACACTCATCTTCAAGGATTTATTTGCTTATTTGTTAGTTTCCTTTATAAATTTTTATCAGAATTTCTGAGTCTTAGATTTTTTGTGCTTTGCCCTCCATGATATTCTTTTTGTGTGTATTGAAGAAAAAATCATGTTCTGGCAATCTTTCGGGGGTTGGAAAATATTAACTTTAAAGGAAAATTATACAAAATACGACCTTGATTTTCATATTAGATTTTTCTTTAATCAATACAATATTGATGTTATGTAATTGACAGACACCTAAATGAACATTGCTTCTATTATCAATGTACATATCTTACATAATTATTAAAATTAAAACTTCCCTTCTAAAAGAGATGATACTTGATTTAAACTTATACTTATTGTTTTAAAGAATAAGATGTGCTAATTTTTGATTGCCCTTATGAGTCGAATGGGAGAATTGCGCTAAATTTTGAGTGAGCTTATTTATGTAAGTTTATAGTTACATTATTTTCATGCACTAAAAACTTTGGGAAGCCTGCGCAAATAAGAAAAAAAAAAGCTTTGTATTCACTATTCGCAAACATAAAGCAATTGAGAGTCACAATAAATGTTAAGATCCCTCTATATACTGCACACTAGAGAGTTCTGATTTTGTGGTATTTTTATGCAGATAGAGTGATCTGCCCTTTGATCAAGAATAAAATAAATTGAAATGTATAGTTTATTACTTAATTTGTGATCAAATCAAGCGTTCATAACATATTAAGGTATTTTGTCCACTTAAGTAAACAACAGTGATTTATGTTCATCAGTACTTCATCGTCTTTGAAAATGTTTCCTGGGGGTAAATGCAGGGTAACCTATGTTGAAAATGTAATAGATAAGCTCAAGACTTACTTTTAAACATTATAAATTTCTCAATGTCCAAAAAAAAAATTTTCTCTAGTGTATAGAGGGTCCTTAAAAATTCCAGAGACAAGAGGAATATTACATTTATTGCATCCACACTGCTCATGATAAACATTCGGCTCAGTGGGGTACCAGAGACTCGAATTACATTCTATAGGTTCGTTCTTTGTCCAGTTCCCGATGCCGTCCTTTTCCAGGTCTTTTAATCACATTCAGAAAAATTTGTTCATAGCAAGCAAGCTTATAAAGACTTTTTTAAGAGGATGTGTTACCAACACGATTTAGAAAAAAATTATGATATAACAAAGCCTTTCTCTGCCTTACCGATTTCCCCAAAAAATATATAAAGCTATATATAGCAAGGCCATTTGATTCTACTTTTGCATTTGTTTTCATATGTACTCCTAAATACAAGCTTTATTTTTTGTTAGTACAATTCAATATAAGAATATTCATTCTTAAAAAGCAACATATAATTAGAGAGAAGAATATTTTCAAACACCTGAAATTTATCCACAGAGTTGAGCTTTTGATTAATTAATGGCATCCACCTATTTCTTGTTTTGCAACTTGCCAGCTCAAATCCACAGTATTAACTGTATAGCAGACTCCAATTTCAGATAAATATTGGTAGCTGTGTTCTTTGCAAGCTGTACATTGAATTTTCATGTGTATGGACTAGTACAATATCATGCAATATATTTATTATCATTGATAACACTTCTATTACATATGGTGAAGGAGAAATAACAACTACATAAAAAAGTGTTACAAAAAGGTTCGTGGAAATGTTTTGTCCTAAGAAATGCGTTCGCCTTAATGAACAAGCGATCTTTTCTCGTTTTTCTTTGTTTTGAACTATTCAATTAACGGGACTTGATTTTCAAGAAATTACCCAACTAAGAGAAGAATACTGGATTAGAGAACTGGGCACGGCCTTTCCATATGGTAGCAATGGCAATATCGATAGTGTTGGGATCTTTCAAGCCCACTATGTAGGAATGTGAATGTGATTGTACTTCATAACACTACAAAGAGACGTAAGCGTAGTCATGGAATCGGTCTTACAATAAACCTATTGTACATGATGTCTCCTTTGATTAACAACTAAATAACGTAAATAAACAATTAGGCCCTCATAACTTTCGCACCAAATTTTACTCTGATCCTTTGAAAGTTCTGAATAGTCTATATGTAAAAGTAAAGGAAAAGTCATGAAAAGTTTACATTTGGATTCCTCGACACCAGAATACAGGCTCGGATCTATGGTTATGGATATTGCAAATCTCAGGCTTTTTAAATCGCCACATTATACGGAAGAAAATACAGCTAAATCTACCCGTTTTTTCTTAAACTTCAATAAGTTAACAAAGGAATTGATGCTGTTAAAATAAGTAATATTCTTAATCCCAAAAGGTCCAGCCTTGTATTCCACAATATTTCCTACTAAAGACTATACCCTATAAATATACATCCTATAAAAATATATCGACTATTGCTTCAAAACCTTTTAATTACAAGAAAACTTTACAGAGCCTGGATATTGAGCATCTGATACATAATCCTCCATCGTGTTCATGTTCTTCTCACCCTACAACTATAGTCCTGCTGGACACGTTATTACTGGTAACGTAAATATATTTAATAATGAGGACCTTACATCACTTATTTAAAAAAAGACACAAATCTAGGGAACCCCGATCTTTCAAATGGAATCA